ATTCCTTATTTGCATATGTGGACCTGAGTGAAAACTATCTACAGTATCCCCCTGCTGGCCCAGGGTGAGAACTTCAGTACTTCAGTACATAACAACTGCTCTCTCCTCTCCTCTCTGCTGGATCAGCTCCCTCCTGCAGAGAAAGAGAGAGCATGGGTACATGCACATGTACACAGAAGTTTGACTTTTCTGAGTGAATTGGGTTAAAGCCAGGTCTGGTGATATTAACCTGAGCCTTAAAAAGCACATAGAGCTGAGACAGGAAATGGGGAAGAGGGGTACTCTTCCAACTTCCTCCTTCGGCTCTGTGTACTTTCCCAAGGGAGAGAAAAGCAGCCACACTCACCAGTTCTTTTTTTTTAAAAAAAAATATTTTATTAAATTTTCTTTCAGATAGTCAGAGATTTACAGAATAAAAAGTAAAAAGTGAAGATAAGAAAAAGAAAGAATACATAAACTCCAACTTTCCAAAATACTTTAACAATCGGACTTCCCCACATCTTCCGAATCCTGCGTTCTTTGCAATTAATACATCAGCAATTTGTTACCTTATTTCATGTCTTACTGTATCTTTCAAATACTATGTTTCTAAATTCAAAATACTGTATCTCAGTTATTTGTACCTTAAAAATAAACATAGTATGGTTGTTTCATGTTCTCCACCTCGTCTTTCTTATAACTTAGTTTCCAATTCACCTATTCAAGTTGCTGAAGCAAAAGTTTCCTAATCGTACACATTCTTAACATTCATACAACTTATATTGTTTTTGCAAATAGTCCTTAAATTTTTTCCAGTCCTCCTCCATTACTTCCTCTCCCAAATCTCGGATTCTGCCAGTCATTTCAGCCAGTTCCATGTAGTCCATCAACTGCGTCTGCCATTCTTCCAGCGTGGGTAAATCTGGTGTCTTCCAGTGCTTTGCGATGAGAATTCTTGCTGCTGTAGTAGCATACATAAACAAAGTTCTATCCTTTTTTAACACTTTCTGGTCTACCATGCCCAGGAGGAAGGCCTCTGGTTTCTTGGGAAACACACTCACCAGTTCTTGACCAAGGGAATCATGAATGGAGGGAGACTTTGTGAGTGCCCACAGCCAATATGTTGGCAACTTTTGCACCCAGCTGTGCTGTGGTCTAAACCACTGAGCCTAAGGCTTGCTGATCAGAAGGTCGACGGTTCGAATCCCCGCGACGGGGTGAGCTCCTGTTGTTCAGTCCCAGCCCCTGCCAACCTAGCAGTTTGAAAGCACGCAGTGCAAGGAGATAAATAGGTACCGCTCCGGCAGGAAGGTAAACGGCATTTCCATGCGCTGCTCTGGTTTCGCCAGAAGCAGCTTAGTCATGCTGGCCACATGACCCAAAAAACTGTCTGCGGACAAACGCCGGCTCCCTCGGCCAGTAAAGCGAGATGAGTGCTGCAACCCCAGAGTCGTTCTCAACTGGACTTAAATGTCAGGGGTACTTTACCTTTACCTTAAGAGCTTTCTACTTGCCCTAGCTTTTAACTGACCAGCAGGTGATAACACTGAAGATGGGATATGGTTTTTTCTTTGTAAAAAAATGAAATAAGTATGTTAGCTGAGAAAGCTGCTTTGAAGAGGCAAGGTCCCTTGTCTGCTCCCTACACCCATCCTAGACAAAGTGCAGTGTTGTTCCTAGCATGCAGATACCGAAATCCAGCATCGCCTGAGCTCTGCGAGTGCAGCTTTCTCCCGATTGCAGAGTGCTTGGGTTTCCGGCTTGCATCACAAGTCAATGGCAGTCACTCCTTAGGGCTTTAAAGTGTTGGTGCTCACATTTAAAGCCCTAAATGGCCTCGGTCCAGTATACCTGAAGGAGCATCTCCACCTCCAGCGTTCTGCCCAGACACTGAGGTCCAGCGTCGAGGTCCTTCTGGCGGTTCCCTCACTACGAGAAGCCAAGTTACAGGGAACCAGGCAGAGGGCCTTCTCGGTAGTGGCGCCCGCCCTGTGGAACACCCTCCCACCAGATGTCAAAGAGAAAAACAACTACCTGACATTTGGAAGACATCTGAAGGCAGCCCTGTTTAGGGAAGCTTTTAATGTGTGACATTTTTAATGTATTTTTAATCTTTGTTGGAAGCAGCCCAGAGTGGCTAGGGAAACGCAGCAAGATGGACGGGGTACAAATAATACATCATCATCATCATCATCATCATCATCATTATTATTATAGTGGTACCTCAGGTTACATACGCTTCAGGTTGCACACTCCACTAAGCCAGAAATCGTGCTTCAGGTTAAGAACTTTGCTTCAGGATAAGAACAGAAATCGTGCTCCGGCGGCGCAGCAGCAGCGGGAGGCCCCATTAGCTAAAGTGGTGCTTCAGGTTAAGAACAGTTTCAGGTTAAGAACGGACCTCCAGAACGAATTAAGTACTTAACCCGAGGTACCACTGTAGTAGTATTATTATTATTATTATTATTATTATTATTATTATTATATGCCAATGGGCTGCAATCAATCAGCTAATGAAAGAACTGAGCTTGGTTCTTTGAAGGTATCCAAATATTTTATTTTTAAGCTTGATAATCCTTACAACAGCTGGGAAAGGAAAGGGGAGGACAAGGTGCGTTGTGTTCTCAAAGGGTTTTCAAATGGTTTTATTTCTTGTCCTCCCCTGAATAATGAAATAATTCTGTCTGTTACCACAGAAAAGAGGGGGGAGGCTTTTGATTTATGCTCAACAAGGAATTTAACAAGGCTTTATTATGCCCTCCCCCCTGGACTGAGGTTGAATGGATTTTATTTAAAATTATTTTTTGGATCAGGCCAGGAGTGTGATGGAGCGATGCAGAGCGAGAAGAATGAACGGCTGCCGAATAGATCTGGCAAGAGGCCAAACTTGAGAAAATATTTTGTTTTTAACTGTGTGCCAAGGAAGAACTCCAGAGTGGAGTTTTAATGACAGAGACAGGACATGTACTCTGTGAGTTATTTACGGCCGCAGCCTGTACACTAGTTGGCGAACAGCGGAAGGGATGGAATGGGACCTTGTAACATCCAGAAAAACACTGCAAAGAACTGAACAATGGAAGATAGTAATTAATTCTCCCAGGACACCAGGTCTGAAACAACAATGTTTATGAAGGATTACACACATGTAGTGGATTTTATACTTATAAGATGTAACAGAGGTGCTGTTTGTAAGGAGGAAAATGTGGTCAGCTGCAAGAATGACGTAACAAAGACTGACGGATGACAACTAAACACTAAATAAGAAATGATGCAGCTATGGGAGGAAACAACTGACATATGTTTGCAACAGGAGTGGGAAACCTGATTTTAAGAAATTGTATTAAATTAAAGTAATTTGGTTGGATTTGCAATAGTTTGGAAAATTAATAAAAATAATTGAGTTTAAGGGGACTGGGACATTTGCAGGGAAACCAAAATGCTTGTTTACAAAGCTATTGTACTACCAGCCTTACTGTATGCTTGTGAAACATGGACCACTTATAATAAACGCCATCTCCAACTCCTCGAAAGATACCATCAATGGTGTCTCTGGAAAAAAATTGCACATCACTTGGGAAGACAGGCGAACTCATGACAGTGTACTGGAAGAAGCAAAGATCGCCAGTGTTGAAGCAATGATTCTTCAACATCAACTTCGTTGGACTGGTCATGTTGTTTGCATGCCTGAGTATCATATTCCAAAGCAACTACTCTATTCCGAACTTAAAAGTGGAAAGCGTAATGCTGGTGGTCAAAAGAAGTATTTGGGGCACTGTAGTTTTAACAGGAGGTTCTAGGCCAACCGCTTCCTGACTCATGAAGGGGAGTGCATCAAAATCTCCTGCTAAACTAGAGGGGGGAACCTCATTATTTTAGCAGGGTGTGACGCTGTGGGTTAAACCACAGAGCCTAGGACTTGCCGATCAGAAGGTCGGCGGTTAAAATCCCCGTGACGGGGTGAGCTCTCGTTGCTCGGTCCCAGCTCCTGCCAACCTAGCAGTTCGAAAGCATGTCAAAGTGCAAGTAGATAAATAGGTACTGCTCCGGCGGGAAGGTAAACGGCGTTTCGGTGCTCTGCTCTAGTTCGCCAGAAGCGGCTTAGTCATGCTGGCCTCATGACCCGGAAGCTGTACGCCAGCTCTCTCCGCCAATAAAGCGAGATGAGCACCGCAACCCCAGAATCGGTCACGACTGGATCTAATGGTCAGGGGTCCCTTTACCTTACCTACTATGCTGAATCAGGAATGGGCGTTAATATGTATGCAGGATTTAACCCCTGCTCATCGACTGACAAGCAGGGGTTAAACCCTGCTCTGTTTGGCTGTATGCCCCTGGTCCCTCCAGATAGCAGGCATGTGCAACAGGATTTTATCTTGCCTTCCTGCCCATCAGATGATGTCACACGAGCCACATCCACTGAGAAGCAGGTGGGCATGGTTTGGGGAAAACTGGCCGGAAGCCAGTCGAAATCACCCCTGATTTAGCTGAAATTCCTGCACGTGCTAAGTAAGGAATCCATTTAAAAACAAAACACAGGGAGAGAGTTTAAGATTATAGTTTTACTGGATCTGGATTTTCTATAACCTTAATTTCACTGGGACTGATTTCTTACGTGGAACTTCAGCACAGATACCTTACGTGTGTGTCCCTTTCGTGGCAGAAGTTGCCATCACAGACGCAGCCAGTTCAAAGGGTTTGCAGCTGGTCATCATTGCAGAAAAAACTGACTGGTGCTACAGCAGGCGGGTCTCTTTGAAGCTATATTTTAGATCTCACGAGTAGCAGATACCAACCTGGAAGGTGTATCAGGCCAAGACTCATCAGGTCATGGCAAAAGTCACATCTACGCCAACCATTTTGAAAACACTCTTAGGCCACTTTTACCGTCATGGCTCCTCTCCACCCCAAAGGATCCTGGGAACTGTTGTTAGTTAAGGGTGCTGACCTCACGGAGCTAACCCCCGGCATCCTTAGCAAATGACAGATCCCAGGACCCTCCATGATTGTTGAAGTGGTATAAGAGCGCTTTAAGCTGCATGGTGCGGTTGTTTACAGAGGATTAAAAAAGGGTGAGAAAAATCTATTCCCTCTCCATCCAACATTGTGCATCTTGCAAATGTTGAGAGGTGCAGATGTTGTTGGCTCCTGTGGCCAACAACAATCTGAAAGGACTTGATGTTGACCAAAAGAAAAGAAAAGAAAATGCCTCCCAAATTGTTTTTATCTCTTTCCAAAAAAAGTTTTCAGGATGTAGTCTTTAAAGAGGTCTCTGGAACTGGCGGTGCTACAGAAACCCACTGTCCTATTCACCTCTGCTTGTCGCTGGGCTGCTGGATTTTTCAAAGACAAGTCCTTTGCATCTTGTCAGAGAGGACATCCAAGTCTGCATGCCTTTCTTCCTGGAGAATTTGCTCGTTGTCCGAAGGCTCCGGCCCCGACGAGTCCTTCCCAAACATGGCCCTTATCTGATTATGGTGGTGGGAGCATTCCCCCGACTTCATGAGCGTGGTGTCCGAAGCGGATCTCTGGTCCTGCATCCACACATGCATTAAAACCTCGTCGATGCAGAGTCGGCGGGAGACGTCGGGTTGGAGCATGCGGTAAATGAGATCTTTGCATTCGACCGACAGCACTTTGGACCGGGGGAAGTGTACCCGGTGCTCCTTCTGTAGCTTGAGCATTTTCTTAATGTTTGAGTCATCGTAAGGCATCGAGCCACACACCATGATGAACAGGACCACCCCCAAGCTCCATATGTCGTAAACCTTCGGCTGGTAAGGGATGCCTTGCAGCACTTCCGGGGCCGCATAGGCCGCTGAACCACAGAAAGTCTTGCTGAGGACCACCCTGCCATCTTCGTCGCGGGCGACTCTCTTGGAAAAGCCAAAGTCCGTCAGTTTGATGTTGTATTCTTTGTCCAGAAGAAGGTTCTCGCATTTCAAGTCCCGGTGGACAATGTCCAGCTCGTGGCAGTACTTGATGGCGTTGGCGAGCTGGTAGAACATTTTGCGGGCTACGTCTTCAGGAATGGCTCCTCTCTTCTTGATGAACTCCAGCAAGTCTCCTTGCACGCCCAGTTCCGTCACGATGTAGACTTTGCCGTCGGAGGTCTCAAAGATCTCATAGGTCTTGATGATGCAGGGGTGCTTCACCCTGGCCAGCATCTCTATCTCTCTGGGGAGGAACCTCTCCAAGAAGTCCCGAGGAGCCTTCCTCTTGTCGATGATCTTGACGGCCACGTTGCACTTCAGCCGATCTGAGTAGGCCGATTTCACCTTGGCGTAAGACCCTTCTCCGAGGTTGATCCCCATGATGTAGCCTCTCTTTTTAAGAACTTCAGCATCATCCATAGTCCTGACCCTAAGCAATATGTTCAAGTTGGCTGAGCATCCCGTATCCTGCCCCCCTCCGATTCACGCACATTCCAGGATGGTCATCTGAAATGGCCTGGGGCTCCCCTTCCTGGGATGTTGCAGGAGAACCCTCAACATTCTTTTGTGATGTCACAATGGCTTGTGTCAGAGCTAAGTCATTCGGGACGCCAAGGGTTCAGGTAACATTCCCGGATGTCATCTGAAAGTACGGGCTTATGACTATTTATTTATTTCCTTATTTGATGTCTTCATATCCCACCTTTCTCCCAGACTGAAATTCACGGCAACTTGCAACTTTAGAAAACATCAATATATAAAATCCTAAGCCATAAAAATAAACTCATCCACCCCAAATAGAATACATTTAGAACCGGCAATTAAAATGTCGTTTATCCAGACAGGGAATTCCACAATATGGGGGCAGCTACAGAAAAGATTCTTGTCTCTTGCCATGAGCAGCTGTGCTTCTGAGGTGCTTACCTGAGGATCTCAACACCCAGGCAGGCTTATATAGGGAGATATGATATTTCAGGTAGCCTGGGAGCCTTTAAAAGGGCTGACCTTTTTGCAAAAAGACCAACCTATGTATTGCAGACAGGAGGGAGATCAAAGCTCCATGCTACATTTTCCCTACAAAACTATAGGTCTGGATATGTCAAGTAAACTTAGGGCACATTCTTCTTCCAAAGGGAATGCTGGGAATTGTAACCCTGGGAGGGGAATGGTATGTGTGTGTCTCCTAACAACTCTCAGCACCCTGAACAAAAGGCAGGGCCCAGAATTGTTTGCAGGAAACTGTGGATGTTTAAAGCGGTATGGTACCACTTTAAATGTATAGTGCAGATGGGGCCCGGGACTAACACTGGATCTACTAAGTATTTGGAAGAGTGGTTGGTCTGTCTGTCCACCTGTTTGTTGGTTGTCTATCTGCCTCTTGAGAAATCATCACTACACAAGGGGTCCTGAGGTGGTGGCGGCAGTTAGCAGTGGCATTTGGATGCCGGGTGCCAACTTGAATCAAGATGGTGGACCAAAATATGACTGTAAAGCGACTTGGCCCTTTTTGGCATAGATTTGGCTGCCTCTGGGGATATCATTACCAAACCTGGCATGCGGGTTCCCAAAGGGCAGGGGGAACGTGGTGTTTGCCTACACTTGGATTCCAGGCGCCATTTTGATTCAAGATGGCGGACCCATTATTTGGTGTGATGGGTCCACACACACACAAATTACACTATCCATTTTTTTAAAAAACCATTTTTTTGGTTTCTACAAATTCCTGGGCACTCCCAGCCAGTTCTTAATTAAGGCAGAGCTATGGGACACAATTGGCACTGTGGGTTAAACCACAGAGCCTAGGACTTGCCGATCAGAAGGTCGGCGGTTCGAATCCCCACAACAGGGTGAGCTCCCGTTGCTCGGTCCCTGCTCCTGCCAACCTAGCAGTTCAAAAGCACGTCAAAGTGCAAGTAGATAAATAGGTACCGCTCCAGCGGGAAGGTAAACAGCGTTTCCATGCGCTGCTCTGGTTCGCCAGAAGCGGCTTAGTCATGCTGGCCACATGACCCAGAAGCTGTACGCCGGCTCCCTCGGCCAATAAAGCGAGATGAGCACCGCAACCCCAGAGTCTGCCATGACTGGCCCTAATGGTCAGGGGTCCCTTTACCTTTTATGGGTCACAAGGAACATGGGACTGATGTCAAGGCTGATAGCCCCACATCATGCTGCTGACTAACTTCCTCCTTGTCAACCTGGCCCACTCACGGTACACAAAAACTTTTGAAGAAATGGAATACAATAAAGGACACACACTTAGAAAGAACAGCCCTCCCTTCCCCTGTCTTCAGGTACCCTTGAATCAAGGAGAACACGGTCAATGAAACGTGCCTTGCCTACAGATGATGTGCTGTGTCTCTCCAATGGTGTCACTGCACCTTGGTAAAACATCAAAGCTTTGATAAACAAGGAAGTTTGGAGGCAATTCTTATTAATAAGAGCCACTATTCCATTCATCGCAGAAGGCTCTTGGGAGATGATTCCTTTGAAGAAAAAAAACCACCCACCCTTCTTGAAGAGGAGGACTGCTCTGCCTGTGATGAATGGCGCCAGATCTTTCCCGCCAAAGGTGACATTTCTTCTCCATTAAGTTTTGGGAAGATCTTTCAGAAGAACCTTGAATCAAATTGAGAGCTGTACTGAAACCCACTCTCTTGTTTTATTTTTTTAGATTTTAAACCTCTTTACTGAACCTTCAAAAAGGACATAATTATATGTGCACTAAACATGGTGAGACATAAATAAAAGAGAAAGAAAAAGAGAAACAGAACCCGTGTAGAAGGGAAAATAAAGAGGGGAGGAGGGGACCCCCCAAACTGTATCCTTTACAAGGTTGTTAGTGTACTTCACCAGATCTTAACCTATTACAGTATTTGTAAGAATGGATTCCAAATATCACTGAATTTGTCCATGGCAAGTCTGTGTTTATATGCAAGTTGTTCATATGTTGTGAGCTTGTATAAGTCTTCAATCGTAGAAGGGAGCCGCATTTTTATTTTTCCGATTCATCAGGATCAGTCTTTTTGCTGTGGTAAGGGCACAGAGAGTCCACTCGTATTGTCCTTTTCTAAGGTTGTATATGCTGGGTATATAATTCAAGAGGACATTTTGCTCTGTAAATGTAAGTTTGTTCTCTGTTTACACACACACACACACACACACACACAACATAATAATAAGGGGACGTGGGTGGCGCTATGGGTTAAACCACAGAGCCTAGGGCTTGCCAATCAGAAGGTCGGTGGTTCGAATCCCTGCGACGGGGTGAGCTCCTGTTGCTCTGTCCCAGCTCCTGCCAACCTAGCAGTTCAAAAGCACATCAAAGTGCAAGTAGATAAATAGGTACCACTCCGGTGGGAAGGTAAACGGCGTTTCTGTGTGCTGCTCTGGTTCACCAGAAGCGGCTTAGTCATGCTGGCCACATGACCCAGAAGCTGTACGCCAGCTCCCTCGGCCAATAAAGCGAGATGAGTGCCGCAACCCCAGAGTTGGCCACAACTGGACCTAATGGTCAGGAGTCCCTTTACCTATATGCTGGGTATATAATTAAGAGGACATTTTCCTCTGCAAATGTAAGGTTGTTCTCTGTTTACACACACACACGGCATAATAAAATGAGTCCTGGGCTGTCAAAAAAAGGAAGAAGTAGCACGAGAGGAGGAGGGGGGAATAGTGGTTAGAGCGTTAAGAGACACACTTCCCCTTTTCAAGCCCCCACCCAAAGCTATGCGTGGGACCAAGTGACTTTGAAATGGCCAATGTCTCAGAACCCAACGGCAGAAAAGGGAGTGCGGTAAACAAACATGCTTTTTAGTTCCCAGGTGTTTCTTGACACCCTAGCAAGGTGATTTCTGCATTTCAGGGCTTGGGCTTGGTGATCCTTGGCAGACACCTTCCATCTCTGTAATTCTACGAAGGCCATATTTACTTATTCTTCCCCTGTATCTTTGTACCTCTCCTGTTTCATTTTGCTGTTTTATGTTCTTAAAAGGTAAAGGTAAAGGACCCCTGACAGTTAAGTCCAGTCGCGAACGACTCTGGGGTTGCAGTGTTCATCTCACTTTACTGGCCGAGGGAGCCGACGTTTGTCCGCAGACAGTTTTTCTGGGTCATGTGGCCAGCAGGACTAAGGCGCTTCTGGCGAAACCAGAGCAGCGCACGGAAACGCTGTGTTCTTAGGATACGTTTAAGGATTTCATAATGTGTGATTCAGCCCTAAGCCTTTGTGCCTGGCCCCTTGGAACTCTCCCCAGGTGACACTCCTCTCTCCAGGCTGCAACCCCTCATCGCCACTGCTTAAAACCGCCAGGTGAGTTTGCCCACCTGGAAAAGTGCCCTGGAACTCTGATCACAGTCCTTGGTCTGCTGGATGGAGGACAGAGAGGGGTTTGCGGAGAAACTTGCCTACAGTACGAACGGGGGAGGCGGGGAGGGGATGCCTCCATTGCTTTTGGCTGAGACTCTGAAGAGCTGAAGCCAGCCAGAGTGGACAATATAGGGCTATGTAGGCAAAGTACCTGACCTTTGATAAGGCAACTGTCTATGTGTGCTATGTAGCTTGGACTACTGCAATGCGCTCTACCTTTGAAGGTGACCCGGAAACTGCAACTAATCCAGAATGCGGCAGCTAGAATGGTGACTGGGAGTGGCCGCCGGGACCACATAACACCAGACCTACATTGGCTCCCAGTACATTTCCAAGCACAATTCAAAGTGTTGGTGCTGACCTTTAAAGCCCTATATGGCCCAGTATACCTGAAGGAGCGTCTCCACCCTCATTGTTCAGCCCACACTGAGTTCCAGCTCCGAGGGCCTCCTGGCAGTTCCCTCACCGCCAGAAGTGAGGTTAGAGGGGACCAGGCAGAGGGCCTTCTCAGTAATGGTGCCCGCCCTGTGGAACGCCCTCCCATCAGATGTCAAGGAAATAAACAACTACCTGAATTTTAGAAGACATCTGAAGGCAGCCCTGTATTGGGAAGTTTTTAATGTTTGATGTTTTGTCGTATTTTTAATATTCTGTTGGAAGCCACCCAGAGTGGCTGGGGAAACCCAGCCAGATGGGCAGGGTATAAATTTTTTTTTATTATTATTATTATTATTATTATTATTATTATTATTATTATTATTATTTAATGTATTATGTACCTGGAAACTGCTATTCCCAATATACTTCTTCCTTGTTTCCTGGCTAAGCACGAGGTGGCTGCCTCTCAAGTTCTATAGTAGAGGTAGGGAAACTTTCTCAACCCAAGGGCCATGTTCCCTTCTGCGAAACCACCTGAGGGCCACATCATGTCAGTGGTGGGCAGGGCCAGAGGCACAAGTGGTGGAGCAACAAATGCACATTTTTTGCTTCTGTCATCTCACTGTTGCCCTTCTATAACAAGGCAAGGAGTAAGATAGGGACCGAACTAGACGGAGTTGGCTTTGATGCCCCCTACTGGCGACCTCCCTGCCTGCTGCCCCACATGTCCCAATGGGCACCAGCCACCACTAAATGGGTTTAC